TTCTCTTCTGTTGATGCATAGGCTCCACACTTGTCTGCTTCTCTGTTCAGGAACTTGGACACCAGTGTTAGGTCGGAGAACTCGCCTTCTTCTGTTGTTTCAATGAAGTCGTACCATCGGAACTTGAGGATCGTAGGCATCTTCTCAATAATTTGTTTCACCATCTCAGGTGAATGCAGGTACTGTGGTTTCTTCAATCCTTTTATTGCCGCTACGCTGTTGCTGATCTGGCTCGCGAAGAGGCATATGTCCCTTGGATTTTCAGAAATCTTCGGCAACGTTTTGACCTTGTCCAACTCTGCCAGCACCAGTGCATCTGGTCTTCCATATCTTCTTCTGAGGGCTTGAATCACTTCCATCGGAGAGGCTTCGGAGTACAGCAGACTCTTGATAGCTTCTCTTGCGTTGCCCTTCAGTGCTCTTCTTAGCCGAGCCATATTCTGGACGTTGTTGAACATCGGTGCTGTATCTTCATAGACAACCTTGAAGGCCATCCACTCGCTGCTGTTGCCGTCGAAGTAGGGTAACTCGTGAATGTAGGTTGGCTGTCCTGCTGGTCCTCGCGTGGTAAGAGCTTCCTTCAATGCTGCCGTCAGTGCTTGAATTTCAATCGTAGCTCCTCTCGTTGAGGAGTTCTCTTCAGGCTTCATCTTCTGTGGCTCTTCCAAGGGGTGTGGACCTCGCATCTCTGGTTGAACTTTGTTGCCATCCTCCAGCACAGACGTCTCGATCCAGTTCTGCACCTGTGCTGTTCTGTCTTCCAGGTCTTCATCCACGGAGTCCTCTTCTTCACACTGTGCCATCTCCAATCTGACACGGGCTAGCTTAGTTTCAGCCTGTGCTTGCTTCAACTCCAGGCGTGCCAACTCTTCCTTTGCTTCTAGCTCGCGTCTTCTGGCCGAGGAACTCGTGGTCTTCGTGGACCTGGCGCGACGACTGACCCCCATCGGTTTCAGGGTCTTGGAGGAGCCTTGAACATCCTTTCCAGGTACATCTTCTTGGCTCTTCCTGGTCATCCTCTGTGCAGCATCTTCTTTGTTGCCTTCCATAGACGCCGCCGTAGTTGCAGTCGTAACCGTAGTCTCCGTCACTGTGGTGCCCTCCGTGGTCGTGGTACCCGAAGAAGTGTTCGATGTAGTTGCAGTTCCCGATGACGCCGACGCTGACGTGACCCCTTCTGATCCCGACGTTCCATCTGTCGCGTCCCTATCTGAAGGACGGGACCCGGGACGTGAGGGGGCATCCTTCTGCGACCTGGTTACCGGCATCTTGAACGCAATCTTCTGTTTCTTCTGAACTTCTTCTAGCAGGGATCCGGCTCGAAGGACCAACTGTTTCGGACGACCAGAACCAGGGTATGTCTAGTACCCGGAGGTCGACCTGGGACAATCTCCCAGACGTTCTTGGCGTACACGGCAGTATGTCCGTTCGCTGGTAATGTACGCCACCACGCACCCCTGAATGCGTAGCTTGGGTCCCGATCCACTAGGGTTTCTTCGTTGACAGGAGACTATACTTAGAGGCGATGAAATAAAACACAATTTTTCCTTTTTTCTCTCTTGGTTTCGGTTCTTCCTTTTCCTTTTAGTTGTTGCCTCTTCGGTGGCTGTCTTGCGACTGACTCGAATCGAGAAAAGGCTCGCCTTTTATTTGGCCCGTTAATACCTTACAGAGAGCCGCGTACTTTGAGCTCATTTTTCGAATAAAATTTCCCTAAACCGAAACCTTGAGAGTCCTTTTATTTTATGTTTTCAGTAAAACACCTTACACATATTTATTTATTTACATGCCTTACATACTATTATACAATATTAAAACATAATATTCAATATATAATAATTAATTAAAAAAGTCTTAAAACAAAAATATCTAAATTTCTAGGTTGCTACATTTTTACTATACATTTTCCCTTATAACTTTTGAACGGATAGTCCTATCGACCTAATTCTTGTTTTATTATAAGTTTTATAATAAAATCTATTATTTAAAACATAAACTATTATGCTATTGCAAGAAACAAAAAATCTCATTTTCAAGTTACGTAATTATATGCTAACATTTTACTTACGTACCTATTCCTTTCAAATTAATGTTAAATAGTCTTATATGATTCAAATAAGCAAAAAATACTCTAAACTAACCTTATTACACTAATTAGAACTTATTTTAACATAATAAATCTAATAAGAATGAGATTTCATATTTACAACAATTATTCATAATACGCTAAAATGACATTGTCCCTATATTAATACACACGTTACTCGAAGATAAGTTTTCCGTCGCCGACAATAGTTTTATTTAATAATGTTAAACATTCGCGTAAATCTAAGAAAGTATTAACTAAATCTGCAATTTAAGAGTATACTAATATGTAAATCGTAAGAATTGGGTTTTTCATCATCTGTACGCGGGCGGAGTCGCGGGCAATGCTAGTTTAAGTATAAATTCTCAGATTAAACGATTAATTTTGTAAATACGTTGTACCCAGTTTATAACAAAGCTTCATTAATACACCTTTCTCCGTATCTTCTATATTATTGTGTATTTACTGTAAGTTATTGTGGAGCTAGCTCGCGGAGTTAGGACTGTATCGCTTGAGAGACCTTTTTCCTTCACCAGCAACAACCCGGCCCTGCTGATACACTACAAAGTTTCATTCATGTCTTATTTTAATTTATATAAAAACCAAAAATAATATTAAACAAATTGTATATAATACCAGCAGAACCCGCGGCTTCGCTCGCGCTATAACTACAAAAAAAGTCTCTAAAAAGTAGGTTTCTTACAAACTTTCATCCCCTATTTTACCCCCTTATGGGATGAATTTTGAAAAATACCAAAACATGTATTTATTTATTTGTATTGAAGAATATTAATACCAAGTTTCAAGTAGTTCTGATCACAAATATTTTTTTGGTTGCATTATAACGTGTTTTCCCGTGGGAATGAGACAATCTCCCGCGGTAAAAAGTAGCCTATGTCACTCTCCAGCCCTCCAACTATATCCACACAAAAAATCACGCCAATCCGTCACTCCAATTCGACGTGAAAGAAGGACAAAGAAACAAACACACTTTCACATTTATAATATGGATGTATATATTATATTATAATATTATAATATGGATGCATATGTATGAATTAACATTTTTACAACAGGATTTTACAAATTATACATTTAGGCGTACGTTTAATTTAATTAAACCGTACTTGTATTAAATATTTCATATAACAGCCGTATTTCATGGTTCCTTTGCATTGTTTCTTGTTTATTCCTGCAGCTTCTTACAGTGTAGGTACTCGTCACACCACTGACTTTGCACCTTCCAAGAAAACACCGGGGTGCGAAATTGTACCGCGGATGAGTTGGCGGTTTGGTAGTAGGTACTTAGGGGCAATTTAGCGTTCGTCGGTCGTTTGTCATCCATGTCGACTGTCGACTGTCAAGCTCCTTTTTTTATGAAAACTCAGCTTTTTCCCTCGCGGTCAAGCACAGGTGTCAGGTAACTCGTTAGTCTGTGAAATCGCTACAATTTTTCATTCTGTAATTGCAACCGCTGATAAATACAAAAATAATTTTTGATTTGATTTTGATTTTCTCAGACATGAGATATTTTCCCGCAATAAAAAGTATCCTAAATATTGATCCGGATAACGAGGTATCATCATACTAAATTTTATCAAAATCTTTCCAGTGGTTTTCTTGTGATGCGTTGCCAGACAGACAGACAGATAGAAAAAAAAATTAAAAACTATAGATTCGGCTTTGTATCGATAATAATGACTATTTCAATAAGATTTTCCAAAAAATATTTAATGTATAGATTCGACTCAGAACTTTATTATAGTTTAGATAGATATATGTAGATAACAAATGACAGCTAAGCGTTATTGTGAACGGGGCGCTATTGTAGTGCAAGCAATTTTAGACGCTGTTAGTTGTTTCGAGTCGGTACATTTGGCTGGTGCACTGTGATTCTAAAACCCTTATTCCTTTGTAAGTTTGCCTACGTGTAGTGTGCATATAGTTTAATGTTTAGGCTGTCGAGTATAGAATTAGCGGCGGCTGACACGCAAGTGGCGCGTGCTTTTATGAAAGTCATCGACTGTCAATGGCACGCGGGGAGCACCGTTTAGTGCAAAATATCGAGGGTTGAAGCTTTCTCCACGAACTTGAATCGTCGCAGTAAATGATTCTGTACAGATGCGAATTATAATGCACGTTACGTCGTTGTATTTGTACCTACCCTTTTTAAAGATGAATAAGCAATTACAATGGATATTATTATTTGATATATTCTACACATTTATCGTAATTGTACGTTTATTTTCTATCGCCACGCGTTTCTTATGTAATTAATTCATATGTAAGGCAGCGCTTAAGGGTTTACGGGTTATTAATGACACATTCGTAATCCTAAAACCATATTCTGTTCAGCAGGTTGCGTAGCGAGTGTGCGGCTCCCGGCCGAGCGCGGCCGCGGCGTGTGACGTGTGAGACGTGCATAATGAACGTGAAAGCGGCAGCTCCGAGTTTTACATTTGTGGGTAATTAAAACGAGCTATTTGCATGCCGTGAGGGGCCGGACCCACCAAGGGCTCTGAAGTTATGCCCAAAATTTAAATTTACCAATCCCGGGGATGAGCGTGTCGCTCGTAAAAATGATGCCAATTTACGATAAAAAGCTGATTCTTGCATTCCGGCTGAAATCTGCGAGATCGCATCATGTCAGTTTTACTGCCTATCCCGTTCTCCACCCGCACCCCGCGCACCCCCGCGCTCCGCCACACCCCCGCGCCTCCCTCTAAGTTTACTCAATTCCTTTTATAGAAGTGCGAATTTACTGCTTAAGTTTGGGAAATGTTGTAAAGTTAAGAGCTTTTTAAAAACTGCCGTAAAAAGACCATAACGCGAAACTTGGAGTGGATATTAATAAAATTATAGGTGAGCCTGCGACAGGTATCTATTCAATTAATCTGCGAAGGCGACGCGGGTGATGGATGTCTACTGCGTGGTAGCGGTAACGTCGTGGCTGCGGTGCAATGAAGTGCTCCATAGTTCAAAGCAGTAAGTATTTTGCTTCCGTTGTTACGTTTTGCCAAATATCAAAAAATCAGAAATGTAAAATTTAAAATATACGTAGCTATTTAATTATCGCTATAAAATATACTATGATGGTACTTTAGTGTGTATATTCTTATTATTAGTAGGTACGTAATATTAATCGGCAGATATCCATCGTCTACAATTGATACCTGCGGCTGCTGCCTCTATGCAGAGTGGTGATCTAACGCCATGCTTTGTCTTAACTATACTGTTTATAATATCAGCTGAGAACATGCTTTGTTGTTGTAACAGACTGTACTTACCGACTATAAAGTATAAACACAAGCTGCTTTATGGTACGATGGATACGATGCATATCTAGGTACTTAATGCATATTATAGAAATTATGTATGCAAAGTGATAACTTCGTAAGTGTATAAAAAATATATATTGAAAGGTATATTTAGTGCTAATTATAATAATTTTGAGAAACATTTTAAGCAGCTTATTTGGATTGTGTAAAATTATTGTTTAGATAAGTATTTCGGCAGCTGCGATGAGAGCGGCATAACCGTAACTCGGACCGAGCGGCGCGGGGCGGGCAGCCGGCCGGGGCGGGGTGCGGGGCGGCGAGGAGAGCGCCGGGACATATCTAATTCAGTTTTACTGCTCCATAAGGCCCACCGTTCACTGCCGCACTAAAAAAGAATTGCCCTAAATCCTAGGCTTTGCCTTCACTCACTGGAGGATATAAACATGGCCATGCATCGCTTCAGCTTTATCATCAGATTGCAGTATGATTGTATAAAATATACCATCGGGATTTATCGTGGGCGCAGCGCGGGGTCGCGTCATAAATTTCAACTTTTTTTAAGGGATACAAACTTTGTCTTCTAAAATTGTTTTTAATAAAAGTACTAAGTACAATTTTTTTAAGCGAAGCGTCTAATAAAATATTATTGTCTGAGGACATTACGATGATATTAAGTGACACTTGACAGATAGGCGCGGTGCAAGCTTCCAAGGTTTTCGCACTCACATGACTCGTGACTTTGTGGTATTTGTCGTTGACTGTGCGTGTGCAGTGCGCCTGTGCACGTACTACGAGGCAATTATTACTTCCTTAGGGCCATAAACAAAAAGGTAATTATTAAAATGTTTAGCCGCCGAGTTAGTTACATAACAAAAAGGGTAAAACACAAAGAATTCGACCTCCCGCCGCTCTCTATTATTACTGTGTACTTAGCAGTATATTCAAATTATAGTAAAATATAATTGAAAGAGAATTTATAGGCAATTAGCCGGTGCCCGATGCGCTGCGCCTCGGTCCGCAGCCCGCGCCGCGCGGCGGCTCATTACTATGTTTCATTCTTGTCTCACTGCAAATTGTCTCGTTCGCGTATCTTTAAAAATAATTGTTTTGTAATAATAGATTGCGTTCAACCCTCATCATTTCATTAGGAAATTTTAATAGTATTTAATTTTAAACAAAGATAAAATAAAATTGTAATGTAAAGTTAATATTAAACTTCTACTTTTAAATTCATTTTGTGTGCGCAATAAATGTATATGAGGTGTATCAATCAATAAAACTGTATGCGCTGTAAACAATCGTCTTGCAAACATGCGAGCGCTAAACGTATACAAACGTAAAGATAAGCTAGACCTGATGGCCTGGTACAGTTACGGAAACATACGGACAGGCGAGTGCAACAAACACTACGCGTACCGCGAGTTATATTAATCAAAGCAAAGAAACAGCAACAGTTCAGCCGAGCTCGAGCGGGCTTACTTTAAAACTACTGAAAATAAAAAGTGATGAAAAAAACAAGCTCGCATCGCGTCCGAGGCGAATCGATACGGCGATGGGAATTTATAAAAGTAGCCAACTGCCAAAGCCCTCGCCTCGGCCGCGCCTCGCGGGCCGAGCGCCCGAGCGACCCCGAGCGCGCCCGAGCGGCAGTCACGGCGACACGCGCGCGAGCGAGACGGCGTCTGCGCGCTTGCTTCCCGCTGCGCGTGTCTGTCTGCCGCTGTGCGCGCCGGCATGCCCGTGGGCCCCGCGCCGCTGCCCCGGCGTGACGTGTGTGTCGCCGCTCCGCGCCAGCCGCCACGCACTATCTAATCTAGAACATTCCGCTACGTATTTGTGCTACATTCCGTGTGTTCGTTGGACTGTCGGTGCGTCGAGTGCATGGTGCTATCCGAGATGGAAACGGAGCAGTGTTTGAAGCCGCAGGTGGTGATGTGCGGCGAGGGGATGGAGGAGGGGGTGCGCGTGAAGGTCGAGGGGGGCGGGTCGGTGGGGCGCATGGTGGACTCTAGCCAGGCGGACGACCGACTCCTCATCCGCCTGGTGCGGGAGCGGCGGCTGCTGTACGCGCGCAACAACATGCCTGTCGCCAGCTACTACACGAAGGTCAAGAACTTGTGGCAGGACGTCGCCACCAACATGGGCTGGAGCGGTACTTACATACATACATACATGCACTCGTGTAGTGCACACACGCACACCGCTCAATACTCACACATTGATTGATAACGAGTTTTATGCACAATACGTTTTACATCTTGTTTGAATATTATGAACCACCGCGATATATTTTTTAAAAATGTTAGGTCGTAACTATTTCAAAAAATCTACAAGCGGATTAACGTAAAAGTCCTTGTTATATCGTATGTTATAGTAAGTAAAGTAGATTTGTAATAACACTTTTTATCCGTATTATAAAAGTGATTAAAAATGTTTTAATTTTTATTACTTCAATGTACCGACAAATTTAAGTCAAAAAATACGTCTTCGATAAATAAGCTTAAAGTTTTTGGTTCCAGAAATGTGTTTAAGTAACGGGACTTGACTAAAACGGTTGAGTGGCCTTTTTATTCTAATATAGTCGTTATTACCAGGTGTTACGGTTTCTTATAGAGAGATTTCATCAACAAATCATTCGGTAAAACAAATAATTACAGTACGAGTACTACGGGGATCGTCGTCGCGTCGGTCGCGTCGCGTCGCGTCGCGTCGTCTACAAAAGTATTTTATTGTTTTATGAGTACATCATATCTTGGCAGCTTGTTGTTTGTTTGTGGCAATGTTGTTATTGTACTACTCTCTCTCTCTCAACAAGGCTGTATAGTGTATATCTATTTGTATATTTCTGAGACAAGATTCCATATGCGGCTTCGCGCCAAATAAAGTCGAAACGGGTTATTGAATTTTATTATTATAATCAGGAAACTTTTATGTTTATAAATAACTTCTATTGGACCATGGCTCCGCTTGTTTGGTAGAAAAATCGATATAATGTAGTACACGTGTAATTTAGAAAATAAGCTATGTCCATCCAGAATTACACTCAGTCTAAGACTTTACAGTAAAGACGCACTACACGAAGAGTAGAACTTTCGCGTTCATGTTATACTCAACAATCGATAAATATGAGATAGGTACATTTTCACGCTGGACTGCTGCTAAGGGCTGGCTTGAACATCTACAGATATTTAAGAGCGTATAATTCGACTTACTACAGCTAGTTCGACTTATTTCACAAGCAGTGAGCCTTTAAAGCTGTAAAGCCAATTAAACTAAAATTTAGCTATATTGATATGTGTATAAATTGTCTATTACTTGTACTCGTGTACAGTGAAAATGAGTACGTGTAACCTTTATACGTGGTTGAAGTAAAACTTCTTTGGCGCTGTGCTGTGGTAGATACCGCAAATAAAATAAAATTTAGTTATTGAGTTTTTCTGTATAGTAAGTCTCAGTAACTGTCCGGAGTTGGAAAGTTGACGTTGTTTCACCCCCGTGCCTCGGAGAGCACCTAAAGCCGTCGGTACTACGCCTTAACTCTCACCGGTCGTGTCGAGCAGTCGTCCGACCGGAGTATGAGAGTGACTGGAATAGAGAGTGCACTTGTGTCTGCGCGTACACTTGTGCACTATAATATCTCCTGCGCAGTTGGCTAGTCTCAATGAGATTTGCCGCCGTGGCCGGAATCTGCTAGGAGAACATCATTAATAGCTTCAAGCCAAAGAGTTTTTGTAGTTTTGGCTCCAGCAAAGCCGCGGGGTTTGCTAGTAAATACTATAATATAGAGATAAGTTATAAGTTACATGCAACATTGCAGGTAATAGGTACTTACCTACTAAGTATCTGATCTGCTGAAATTATTTATAACTTTTAGATAATTCCAAGAATCTTGCGTGTTACGACAAAATTCTTTATTACCTACATATTAAATAAAAAAATCGTTATCTTACAACGAGTCCGTCCACAGAGCATGTAGCTTATAGGATAAATATTTATATTTTTTATCATATCTTATTTTTCTATTTAATTTACTTTTTAACAGATTATGTCGTGAGGTACGCTGTATCTCGTTTTTATAATATACATACGTTAAATGTTCACAAAACTAGCAAAAAAAGTGTCCCGAATACTGCGGCATCACACATGCTCTCGCATTTATTATTTTATTTAAACCTCCACATTGCCAAATGATGTAAAAAGGATAGAGTAATCAAAACTATAGGAAAAAAGACGGCTAGTGTTTGTTATTTGCATATTTAAGTTTTCTTTGAATTACCTAACCTTTGGCGTCTTTATTTGCTTACAAAAGTTAAACCAAACAAAATATAATACTTGCGGGATGTGATGTCGTGAACTTTGTTTAGTTTACTTTGATAATAATTAATGCAATTACTGAATACATACGACGGTATTTTAGTTATAAAAACGAATGTTAAACAACAGTTAGCAAAATGGGAAGCATGTATGTATTCTTTACTTATTCAAAAGTGACTGAGGCCAATGGAGACAATTTCTTCCATTTGTGCGTTTCGCTTTTTAGAGCGCCTTTCTCCTCTCTCCTCCCTCTCTCTCTCTCCTCCCTCTCTCTCTCCTCCCTCTCTCTCTACTCTTTATATAATATCATTGCCCGCATAGAATTCGCCTTTATATCTACAATTCTGCTTAACCAAGCTCCACGAAGTCGAATTGAAATAAAAAAATACAGAAAAAATTTAAAGTTAATGTTTATTTATGAATATTACACATTAAACTTACTTAATTTTAATTACTTTCTGTCTTCTTATTTATGTTTTAAGTTTGTAAGTCGAGTACTTCAAATAATATACCTATCATAAATAATATTAATTATAATGCAGTTACCACATTAAAAAATATTAAACGGTGTCGTGGAACACCAGATAGGAACGACGTTCCTTATTACATATATACATATTAATTTCAAGTTCTAGTCGAGGTTAAAAGAAATTAATTATTCGGGTATAAAATGTTTATTATGATTAACACTTTTATTTTATTTACAGTGATTCATAAAAATGTAATAATAATAATAGTCATCACGTAGACTAAATTAGACACTGTATAGCGAACACACATCAACTATAAATAAAAATCTTTTTTGCCAATCTTACTCTATGCATTTTCGTTACGCAGGTTTTTTGCCGGCTAGGGTACCCCTCCGCATCGTCCCATAAGGAACTTTGTTCCAAAAAAAAATGGTATTTACCATATAAAGTAATGGAGAGAAAGCTATTGAAATTTGTATTTATAACATAGATTATCCTGCGAGTATTTTACATATCTCCATAGTGATTAAATTGTCTATACTTCACACGGAGTGCGGAATATGGCCGAAGCCCGGGGGATTAGGTCTACTCTAATTGACAAAAACAATATATTTACTTAATTTTATACTAGCGACTCCCCCTCGCCTCACTCTTGTTTGTCCCTAGGTTGAATTCCCATACAAAGGTTCATCCCTATTTTCACCCCCTTAAAAGATGATTTCCGGAATAAAAAATATGCTATGTGCTTTCCAGGGTCTCAAACTATCTTCTTGCCAAATTTCATCTAAATCGGTCCAGTAGTTTTTCAGTTTATTCTTTACAAACATTAAAAAATACAAATCTTCCCTATTAATAATATTAGTGTAGATATTTAAATAACCTTTGGACTTGCTACCGATTTATTATATTAATGTATGTGTTAACCTTGTGTCGGCTAGTGGCGGACGTCCGCCGCAAGTGGTCGCACATCCGCAACTCGTACTCGCGCCACCTGCGCAACGAGATGCACGGCGCCTGCACCAGCAAGGGCCGCATGGTCTCGCGCTGGTATCTCGCCGACGAGCTCGAATTCCTCCGCGACCACATGGCCACTGACATGTAAGCTTACATAGTACCTGCTTTCTTTATAAAATAACTACTGTTTGCCGGCGACTTCGCATGCGTGACGTATTTTGTTGTTTGTTCTTAAACGCTCTTTACAGCGCCATCTGTTAATTATTTCAAAATTAATGGGATATGCTTTTGTAAGAGAATAAAGTGAAGCATCGCTTAAGCGACGCAGCTCGACACAAATTGATGGCCGTTACGTTTGTTCGCAAACTTGGTTTACTCGTAACTTTAATTTTGTTGCGGCTTGTGGTTTATAGGTTCTTTTCAGTTAATGTTAAAAACCAGCAATATATTTTTTATAAAAAGAATCAAATAGAAATATATATTTTATGTAAAAATATGAACAAATAAAATAATACATTTATTATTAATAATAAATGTATTTCTTTATTTATTAATATTTTTAAATATCTTAAAATCTGTAAGCCTTCTTACGATGAGTAAAGAAAGCCAAGAAGAAAACCCAGAGGACAATAAATATCTCATCATAGAGTCTATTAATGTGAATGTATGTTTTCAGGCGGCCGTCGCCCTACTCGTCGTACGCGCCGACGATGCTGGACATGGACAACATGAACGACTCCAACAGCATGGAGCCCCCTGAGGTGAAGCCCTTCATGCACAGCCCGTGGTTTGCCCTCAATACCACGCCCAGCTCGCCGAGCGTGGACTCGCGGCCGTTCTCGGTACACAACGACGACAGTTCCAGCTCTACTGCCTTCACGCCCGACGAGAACTCCTCTTACTTCCAGTTCTTCCGCGGGATTCATAATGATTACTTAGAATTACCGCCTAAAAAGCAACGAATGTTCAAGAGAAAGTGTTTAAATCTGTTACACGAACTCATAGACGAGGAAGATAATCATTACGTGAAGAGAGAATATAATCATGAAGTTAGTGTATTAAATTTGTCTCATTCTCATGTTCATGCTCATGTCAGTGATGATGAAAAAGACGTAAAGCCAAATCCTGACGACTCCTTTATACTTCCCAATAATTGAACGTGATATTAGCAGATGCTTTACTTATTGTGATATGTCCCTGGCGCCCGCGCCCGCCGCGCGCCGCCGCCGCCCGCCGCCGGGAGACGTCGTGTAGTATAAGTTCCTAAAATAATATTAGTCAATATGTACATAGTAAAGAAGGAAGTGCACTGAATATTAAAGATATTTTTCTTTAACTATCTGAATTATGTTTTCCTCCCAAAATGAAAAGAATTCGCAGACAAAAATTTATAGCGAGGTATTTTGGTAAGTAATATTAACTTTTTATTAATGCCAATAATGGGATGGCATTTTAATAATTTTCAAGTACATAGCACTAAATATTTAGCAATAAATAACTGATCGCAAATCTTGCCTAGAGAAAGACTGGCTCCCTGGTCTAGTGTTTATGAGCTATAGTGTCTATAGTCTATGGTTACAAATCATTATATGGGGTTTTTTATCATTTCACGAAAAATTTTAAAAAGTTATTCTCCCGAAAAGCCCAGAATTGAAAATGTTTCACCCACCATTTCTCGGAGAACTCGCCAAGCTGCATTTGAATCATTGTACTATGACTTTATCTGTACATCATCTTTAGCACTTTTCTTCCATATCTCATCTATTTATTCCACCCTGCATGCAGTTATTATTATATTTTAAAATAAAGCAATGTTTCCTTAAAGTAAAATTTGATAATTTCAATATTTAAGGTACTTTTAACCTGTCTACAGTTTAAATATTAAAAGTTGTCTTCTCGTTATTTATTAAACCATGGCGATACTAAGTAACAAGTCTTGTTCAATAACGCACGCCCCCACATCCGCACGGTCCCTTCGTACGAACAACTTGAACATACAATGATGTAAAACAATAATATCTTCTTCTCCAATCCACTTAGTTTGCGAAGCTTAAGTCGCAGAAAGCATTTAAGTGTTTAAATCGATTTCCCGCGGCGGCTGTTTGCATTGTTCCGAGACCGATAACTGACGAGTGTTGACGTTACGGCACAAACACTCGAGTGATGTCTCCATCGTGCTCCTATAGAGAAGTACGATATGATGGAGAGAGAAAGAGGTAGAGGGTAGAGACTATGAAAGAACTCTCTGAATTTCTGAAATAGATACGCTTTTTAAATTACATTTTCTAAATTCTTTTCTAAAGGCACAATTTTGTCATTAACTTAAAGAATGCAAGATATATTTTTGTTATTTCTACATATATAGTACAATATAAACATGCATATTATAAGTTTGTGGACAACGTGTGGTTAATACCGAAATTCTATGTGGATTGAACCCGCCGCCTCCAACCCATTCGAATACAGTTTCACAGAATCAAGGCAACACTTCTAAATAAGACAAAATTCATATGTCATAGAGGTGTAACTCGCGCGCCACCTATCGCATATTTATTAAACTTAATGTCAGAAATGCTAAAATTTCATCACGATCGAATGAATGAAAACCTAAGAGACAACCATCATGATTTTATTTAAAGAATGAATTCGTCTAAAAAACGTACCTACATGTGGTGCAGGACAGTAATATTCTTTAGTACAAGCGGATATCATAAAGGGATTTAGCGTACGGGATGATAATACACCGTATATGTACTAGGCCCGTTCTCTGTGATCAATGGGATTTCATATTATTCTTCATTTTTATATGGCTAGGAATTTCTTTCTATACATTTTAATTTAAATAAAAAGTTACAACAAACCTTAAAACATATAAAATTTTATGGAGATTTTTTGAGTCGTCGTTCGCAATATGCGAACTTTACTCTTTTATAAAGGGATAATGGTATGTATGTATGTTTATATTTAATTTTTAAATTTTTTAAGTATTCGAAATCAAAACTCTCTCTAATGCCAGCCAAATAAGCAATTTGGGGAAACTACTACTTAAAAAAGTTTTCTTTTACAGTTTACCACATTTTTTATTTTTCTAATTCTATTATTTTATGAGGATGGAACCCGCGACCTCTCAGTACACAAGTACGCTCTCTGAGTCCTTTGTCTGTATATGTTATTTGCTCATATATAAACGATATAGCGCGTGAGGTAGACTCGTAGAGCGCCTGCATTTAACATCGTGTACTCTCAGTTAGAGCGTAGTGCTCTGCAAACTATTAGCGTGATTCAAAACACACCCTTAGTGTTTCAAACAGCGTGTACCACCAACCGAGATCTAAGCTCTATCCTCATAGATATAAGGTTGAGTTGCCTATGAGGCTATTATTCCGTCGCGCGTCGCCCAACAAGACGTGCCGGGGAGAGCGCCGTGCGGCCGACATGTTTGCGCGGCGGCGAGTGTTGTCGGTACACACAATTTTCGCTTGACATTATATTAGGAATAAACTACCACTATTTATCATGAGGGAAGCGATTCATTCGTGAAGTAAATATAAGCGACGTATATTTTTTGTTTTACTTGGAAATAAACTAAGAGAGGTGGGAAATGTAAATAAAATATGTACCTATAGATCGTATAAAAAGTTAGAAAACCGGCATCTACTTGTGCGGCGTGAGAGGGTGAGGCTTGTGTTGCAAGAGCGACAGTGCGTGCAGCGACGTCGGTCGCGGGTTTGGTCTACATTACATATTGTAACCTTATTGAGCACGTCTGTCGCTTTCTGTAGTTAAAACAAGAGCAGGTATTTGGAATTCCAGCATGAAACGCTCGAAAAAGAAGAACTGTTAGTATTCTGTTATAAAAACTTAAAAAAAACCGACTTCCAGGCACTAAAATATAACGGGGGTTTTCATTTATAATAGATACCTAATCAGATATTTTCGAAGTCGGTGCCAGCCGATGTAAAGAAAATATTTCGATACGGAAAATACATATTTAGCTATTAGATATTCATATCTTAAAATATTGTAGGCTGGCACCGACTTAATACTCGTAATTTATTGTTGATTTTTTTTAAAACCGCTCTACCGATTTCGATAAAATTTATATGAGACCACCTGGGAAGTATAGGTTCAGTTCGGTGAACATACATAAAAAAAAGATTCCGACGAATTGAGAACCTCCTCCGTTTTGGAAGTGGGTTAAAAATAAAATATAATTGTCAATCAATTTTGATGTCCAAGTAAAGTATCTATGTCTTTTCCAGCGAAACTTGAACGAATCTGTAAGACACTATCAACGTCTCCCGCAATCGTCAGTTTCATAAGCTCCTGTATATTTATACACTTTAATGTAAATATCTAGTTATCATAAAAACGACTCTGAAAAATATAAATCCCGCGGCATTTTATTGCTTCGTGATGTTTTCCATTTTGAAGAGTTTTCTGAATAACTTAGACTCGACTCGCTGAAATTAACTGGCGACCCCTTTTTATAGCTCCACGCATTCTCGGCGTATTTCCACTTTTTGTATAAAACGTCACTCGGCTCTTTTATTATGTCATATTCGTTGTCAGTTTTTCTAAGTAAAGTTCTTATTTTAAAAGAACAATTTAAAGTAGACAATTCAAAAGTATTTTCATAAATCAACTCGCGTAACAAAATTGCCCGATTTTTGCTTGGACATAATACTATTTAATGTATTAAAGAAATGAAATAAATGAATTATTTATTAATATTTGGGTTTCACATAGATTTTCAAATTTCAATCGATTACGTTTCAAAGGCTTCTCTCAACGGGCGCATCCGGCGTCGTCTGTCTCGCCGCCATGCCTCTATGAAGGAGTTGACTAATATTACGTAGGTACACATATTAATGTAATAAGAGAATTAGCTGAATGATCGCTGTATCCCGCTAGCCGGTAGCCGGTAGCCGATAATTGAGTGTTATGTAAGAGCGATTAGTAGTTAGTGCTGTAGGTATCTATTATCTACTGGAGTCTGTAAACAACTATTTCCTTACTGACGTCTTAATCACCGGATATAATATTATTATTTCCAGAATATGTACATTGCACATAATATATTGGAATAGATAAATACAAAAATAATTTTAATAAACAATACACGCCTCGTTGGTCAAGTGGTCAGCTCAGTGAGCTGCCTCGGTTCGAATCCTGGGTAGGTAAAACGAATTACGAGTGATTTTCTGTCCATTGCAGCAGTCCAACGTTACTCATGTTTATTGACGCATCTGTGCCGAATACACGTAAAATACTCATTTTGTGTGGCGTTTAATCTATCTGAGGTCTCCCAAGAATAAATTTAGCAAATTATATAATTGTTGTAGTTAAATTTTTGAAATGTTAAATTAAATTTATATATGTAGATATAAGATTTTTAAGATATCATGATAGAAATAAAGAAGGAATGAAACAAGTTGGTACAATTATCTTTTCATTTCAGATAAAAGGTAAGGTAGAAAGTCGGCGTCACTCAAATCTAATTTGATTATAAAATTGGAATATTAAACGTGCTTGAGCAAACTATTTTTTCCTTTTGAGGACTTTTTATTAAATTAAAATATTTTTTACAAGTTACATTTACGTGTAAGATGTTTAGATTCCGTTGATGGTTTAATTTATACTCGACGTACTCAATTCATGTGTATTTTTTTGTGTGTATGTTCCCAAAGACGCTATTTTGAGCATAATTTTTTTTGGTCTATAGGTTAGTACAAATGGTGGTCTCACATAAATTTTATAAAATAAATTCAGCCTTGGGTTAAAATAATCACTTAAGTTACAATATTTTTGTTGAGAAGTAGGTACCTCATTATTTATATTTATAACACGTTATCTTTTAGGGTTCCGTACCCGAAGGGTGCCAACGGGACCCTATTAGTAAGCCTCCGCTGTCCGTCCGTTTGTCCGTCCGGCTATCGGCGAGCTGATCTCATAAACCGTATTAGGTAGAGAGTTGAAATTTTCACAGAAAGTGTATTTCTATTGCCGCTATAACAACAAATAATAAAAAAATCAAGATGGCAAATATCTTGTACGATGGTACGGAACCCTTCGTGTGGGAGACCGACTCGCAATTGACCCGCTTTTTATATATTTTTTCTTCCTTTTAGGATATAGCTAATAAATAGGTAAT